GCAAAATTGTTGCATAGGAACACACGAGGCAGTGTGATTTGATGCCTTCCTCCCCATCACCTACATCTGGCATTTCTCCCCTTGCTATCTCTCCCCAGCATTCCCTTTACTTTCTATAATGCTGTCCCACTTTATACAAATGTGAATTAAGCAAATGTAAGAGACCATAATATAAAAAGTAATCAATTCTCAATTTATGCACAACATTTTCAGATTTCTTCAAAAATTGCATATTGCAGAGGTAGTAGACTGAATGAATGGTGAGCTGTGTTTCTGGCAAGGCCGCATAGTGAAGCCTCTAGCAAGAAAATACTCTCTCCTTTTTCAGTATGTGAATTATACAATTGTTTATGTGCATGACAACATCTGTTAGAGTTCAATCACTATTTTTCTATTATTTAAGCATCCACTATAATTATAATTTAAAATTATTTGTATCCAATATCAATGTAACGCAAGCATTCATTAAATGTGGGTATCAGAAGCAATGCTAAAAATCATGCCTCAAAATCAATTACTTTGGAAAAGAAGTTAGAAGTAAATGAACAAAATTGCAAATAAAGGCAAAAAAACTGCCATGGTATGCTGGGCTGTTAATGTGGAAACAAATGACATGAGAAATATTAGAAATAATGTTGAAAAAATTAAAAGCATAAATATATAATGCAATGGTTAATGATTTGTGAGCCCTGCGAATACATCCACATTATTTATAATATTTAGTTCTTTGAAGTATATGAGTTTTTAATTAAATGTCTTTTATTTAAAGATACAGCCAAACCCCATGTAAATAAGAAAATAAACCTGAAATGCATTTTACAATAATATGTTTCTTTCCTTGTGGTTTTTCTGATGATAAATGATCACACTTGTTACATTGGAAAATTCTAAAAAATGTAAAGATGAAAAAAGTCACCTAGAGTCTCAACATTTAATGGCCAACTGTGCTAGCATTTTGGCAGTTTCCCCAGTTTAAAAAATTTTCTCTATATTTTTATACAGTTTATATAAAACATAATGCACCTTTGCATCTTGATTTTTTTACCCTTAAATGAAGATGTTTCAAGACACTAAGAACTAACTATGGACATTATAAAGACTGCATGATATCTCATCATATGATTATAACATATTTGATTAATACTACCCCTAATGTTACAGCGCAATGCATTCTTCTTGCCTGCTGGCCCCCAAAACACAATACCTTGAGAACAGCAGGTGTTACAGCAAAGAAAGAGTTTGATTATCACAAGGCCAGCCAAGCCAAAGGACAGGTGAAATTTCTCAAATCTACGTTCCCAAGAATTCAGAGGCTAGGGTTTTAAGAATAATTTGGTGAGCTGGGGCCTGGGGAACCAAAAAGATTGGCTGAGAATGAAATCACAGGAGTATCTAAACTGTCTTTGCATAGCTGAGTCAGTTCCCAGGAGAGGGTCTCAGGACCAGGCAACGTCTCTCCATCTGTTGAAATGCTTAATCTGAAAAATATCTGATGGACCAGTTCTTTAGGTTCCACAATACTGAAGTTATCTGGGAGTAGTTGGGGAAGTTATAAATCTTGTGACCCCTGTTACATGGCTCTGGGGCAGTAAGCAAAGTATAGCAAAGCCAGTTAGGCAATGCCAGGTCATTGTTTAACCATGCCTATTCTTCAGCAAAGTTCAAGCCCTTACCATGTAAGTCTAACCTTGTGACCTTTAGTTAGTATTTACAAATACAGTTTCCATTTTTGAACCAGTGTAACAGTTCAGGAAAAAGACTATTATGCCCTCCACACAAGAAGGGGCAAAAGCAGTTCAGCCTGGTAGAAGCAAGATGGACTCAGTTATGTCACATTTCCCTTCCTACTATAATTTTTGCAAAGACAGTTTCAGTAATACTAAATATTTAGGTACTTTCCAAGTTTTGCCATCATAAATAATTCAATGATGCGTACATTTGCATATTAATTTTATCGCTAGTTTGAATTACTTTTCTTTGGGGAGGTTTCCTAGAAAAATAATTAAGTCAAATAGTTTTGTTTTGTTTTTTAATTTTTGAGACCAAGTCTCACTCCATCACCCAGCCTGGAATGCAGTGGTGCGATCTCAGCTCACTGCAACCTCTGCCTCCCAGGTTCGAGAGATTCTCCTGCCTCAGCCTCCCAAGTAGCTGGAATTACAGGCACGTGCCACCACACGTGGCTAATTTTGGCATTTTTTAAGTAGACACAAGGTTTTGCCATATTGGCCAGGCTGGTTGCAAAAGCCTGACTTCAAGTGATCCACCTGCCTCTGCCCCCCAAAGTGCTGGGATTACAAGCCTGAGTTACCACACCTGGCTTCAAATAGTATTTTTTAAATACATTACCAATTTTATTCTCAAAAGAAAAATCTTTTAATTCATTCAATATCTCTTAATTCATATTATTTATTATTTGTAAATGGGGTATTTTTCCTGTGTTTACTAATTAATTATATTTCCTACTTTGTAAACTGCCCATATATGTCCTTTGCTCATTTCTCCAGGGCCATTAACATTTTTCCTGCCAATATGTGTGAATTCTATATATATATTAAGTCTATTAAACCATAGCTAAAACATTTGCCATTTCCTTTTTCTTTCTTTTTTTTTAAATATATGTATATATTTTATTGCACTTTAGGTGCTGGAGTACATGTGCAGAACATGCAGGATTGTTGCATAGGTACATACATGGCAATGTGGTTCGCTGCCTCCTTCCCCCTGCACATTTGCCATTTCTATGCCTTAAATTTAATTTTTTTAAATAAGAAAAAATCAATCATAATGTAGCATATAATGAAGGTGGTGTCCTAAATCTCTTACTTCCCTAAATTGGTTATGCTACCTTTTCAAAACATTTCTGATTATTCTCACCTGTTTGTCCTTTCAAATAATTCCTAGAATCTTAAAATTCTAATAAAAAACAAAATCCATTGGGATTTTGATTGTAATTATATTAAACTTATAAATTTGGTTTCTAATTAGTTTAATTTTCCAGTTCCCTAAAATGGTAGCTATTCCTTTTTCATTTGAGATATCTGTCTCAGTTATGTTTTAGTCTATATTTTAAAACAAACAGACAATGGCTCCAATTTCTTCTTGTGGATCCTCATGGGTTGCAGTCAGATGGCAGCTGAAGCTGGAATTCAGGCTCTGCTAAGCTGATTATCTATAATGGCCTCCTTACTGGTAAGTTAGGCTTGTCAGTATTCCTCCCATGGCCTCTCCCTCCAACAGAGTAGCCTGGATTTCTAATCTGGTGGCTCAGAGCTTAAAAGATGGAGGCAGTCTTAAAGCTAGGCTTAGAATTGGCACATGGTACTTTTGCCATGTTCTACTGATCACCTCAACTTGAGATGGAGGAATCCTCACCCTCAATGGGGAGTTCCTTGTGCCAACAGGAAGTTCTGCCATCTTTGGAGATAAACTGCCACATTTTCTTTTCTTGATCTTGGTGAAATTTTCCTCATTAAAGAATTTGAATTTGTGTTGCTAATAATAATTTGTATGCTTTTTTCTTTTGTAATTTATTAACTGGTTAGTGCTGATATGAAGGAAAGCTAACATCTTATTTATTCTAATTACTTCTCAGTTTAATATCTTGGTTCTCCTAAATAGATAATTATACTATTGGAAAGTAAGTTGTGTTTTTCTCTTCTTTATCAACAGTTAAATCTCTTATTTCTATCTCATGTCTACTGCCCTGGTTAAGATTTCCAGAGCAACGCTAATAGGAAGCAGCCTTGTTTTGTTTCTGTTGCATAACTTGTAAAGTACAAATATATTCAAGTTATAAACTGGGCATCTTTAAATTAAGATACATATTTCCCAGGGCAATATTAAGCCACTTACTTTTATGTGTTGATGCCATACAAATGAATAGAAAGTGCGTTCTTACTCCAGATAAATTGGATTCAGGGAGGGGACAAGTAAACCAGATGAGGAAGAAAGTGTCTAATATATTTTAGATATTGTAATATTTTTTCCCTGAAATCTATCAACATCCAAAAATAAATCATAAGCATAAAACATTGTAATGACTCCAATAAACAGCTAATATCTCAAAAAATATAAAATATCATAAACTTCAGTAATTTCTTCTTTCTTCCCAAGTTTGACTATACCAGGTGCAAAGAAACACTTTAAGTACACAAATAGGTATAAGACTATGGCTCTTGTACTCACGTGTGGCTGATAATCATATGGTGGAACATAATCTTCTGAGTACGTTGTTGGTGCACATCTAAGAAGGATAAGTGAATGTTTGAGAAACGAACAACTTCAAAAAGAAAAATATTTTAAATTTTTATTGGTATACACTTTACATGAAATAAAAACATTTCAGAAAGGAATGGCCCTAATCAAAATTTAAAACCCCACAACGGTCCCAGCCTCTGTTTAAGTATTACCCACCACCAGCAGGGCATCCCTACTTCAATTTCAGCAGTCTCCCTTATCCTTAGAGAATACGTTACAAGACCCCCAGTGAATTTCTGAAGCCTCTGATAGCACTGAATCCAATCACTATCAATTAGAACATATTTCCGTTCATGTTTTCTATCAGCAAATGTAGTTCCTTTTTCATCTCAGCTAAGCACTTACTTATCAAGCACTATGGCAAAACTTGTATGAATTTCTCTTTCCTTCTTCATAATTGCAAGGATAGAGGATTTGTTCTTACCATAGGTCTTAGCAACCTCAGCATACAATTTTTTCTCTTTTTAAGTCGAGAACTTTCATCTTTAAGCATCTAAAGTGCTTAAAGGAAGCACTTTACAGCTTCTCTTTAGCATATCTGAATGCCTGCACCACTACTCTTGCACTCTAGAGCCATTATCAAGTACAAACACTGCAATACCACGACAATCTAATAACAAAGAAGGCTACTAAGTGACTAACAGGCAGGAACAGCAGACAGTGTGGAGCCACTGGACAAAGGGAGGATTCAGGTCCTGAACTGGATGAAGCCAGATGGAACAAGATTTTGTGGCGCTACTCAGAGCCATGTGCAATTTAAAATTTACACATTGTTCATTTCTGAAATTTTCCATTTAATATTTCCAGACTGCAGTTGACCTCATGTAACTGAAACTGTGGAAAACAAAACTGTGAGTAAGGGGAGACTACTATATTTCCAATTTAGCCCTACCTGCTACTCTCCTGTACTAACGATATTTGTGGCTACCCAGGCTCAAGTCCCTGAGCTCAGGAGCTCTGCATTCCAAGGATTCTCCTTATCACCAACTTCCCGTCTCTATGGGCTTTTGACCCACATTCTCTGCTAGGTGACAGCTGAAGAATAATGGAGGACAGCCAGATAGACTGAGATTACATAGCATCCCCAATCTCCACCCCATTAAACACACAGAAATGCTGGATGAAATACATCCCCGCCCATCCCCCAAAGTCTACAAATATTGCCAAGCCCAAAAGTGAAATCCTGAGGTGCTAGAACTGAAGAGGATACTCATTACAATGGGGAACCATAAACTGATGTGAAGTTTGAACCACACATTTACATAGCCACAAATAAAATTAAATACCTAGGAATTAACTAAAGAAGTGAAAGATCTCCGCAATGAAAACTATAAAACATGGATGAGAGAAACTGAAGAAGACACCATAAAATGGAAAAGTATTCCATGTTCATTGTTTGGAAAAATCAATATTGTTAAAATGTCCATGCTACTCTGAGCAATCTACAAATTCGATGCAATCCCTATCAAACTACCAATGATATCTTTTATGGAAATAGAAGAAACAATTCTAAAATTTACGTGAAATAACAAAAGACACAGAATAGCCAAAGATATCCTGAGCAAANAAAAAAAAAAAAAAACTGGAAGAATCATGTTATTTGACTTCAAATTATGCTAAAGAGCTATAGTAACGAAAACAGCATGGGTCAGGCATAAAAACAGACACATAGATCAATGTAACAGAATAGAGAACCCACTATTTGAGAAAGGTGCCAAGAATGCACGCTGGGGAAAAGACAGTCTCTTCAACAAATGGTGCTGGGAAAACTGGATTTCTATATCCAGAAGAATAAAACTAGACCCCTATCTCTCACCATATACAGAAATAAAATCAAAATGGATTAAAGACTTAAATCTATTACCTCAAACTATGAATCTACTACAAGGAAACATTGGGAAAAATCTCCAGGACACTAGTTTGGGCAAAGATTTCTTGAGCAATACCCCACAAGCACAGGCAACCAAGGCAAAAATAGACAAATGGGATCACATCAAGTGAAAAAGCTTCTGCATGGAAAAGGATTCAATCGACAAAGCAAAGAGACAACCCACAGAACTGGAGAAAACATTTACAAAAGACCCATTTGACAAAGGATTAGTAACCAGAATATATAAAGAGTTCAAACAACTCTACAGGAAAAAATCTGATAATTCTGTCAAAAAATGGGCAAATGATTTGAATAGAATTTCTCAGAAGAAGACATACAAATGGCAAACAGGAATATGAAAAGGTGTTCAACATCACTGATCATTAGAGAAATGCAAATAAGAACTACAATGAGATATTATCTCATGCCAGTTAAAATGGCTTATATCCACAAGACAGGCAATAATAAATGAGGGTGAGGATGTGGAGAAAAGAGAATCCTTATACACTCTTGGTAAGAATGTAAATTAGTACAACCACTATGGACAACAGTTTGGAGGTTCCTCAAAAAGCTAACAGTTGATTACCATATGATCCAGCAATTCCACTGCTGGGCATATATGCAAAGGAAAGGAAATTAGTATATCAAAGAAATATCTGCACTCCCATGTTTGTTGCAGCACTGTTCACAATAGCCAAGATTTGGAAGCAACCTAAGAATTCATCAACAGATGAATGGATAAAGAAAATGTGGTACTTATAGTCAATGAAGTGCTATTCAGCCATTAAAAAGAATGAGATGCTGTCTTTGGCAATAACATGGATAAAACTGGAGATCACTATGTTAAGTGAAATATGTCGGCACAAAAAGACAAATATCACATGTTCTCACATTATTTATGGATCTAAAAACCAAAATAACTGAACTCACGGACATAGGGAATAGAAAGACGGCTACCAGAGGATAGGAAGGCTAGTCAGGGCAGAGAGAGGGTGGTGCAGTGGGGAGGTGGGGATGGTTAACGGGTACAAAAAATAATAGAAAGAATGAGTAAGACCTAGCATTTGACAGCACAATGTGGGAACTATAGTCAATAATAATTTAATTGTACATTTTAAAATAACTAAAAGAGTATAACTGGATTGTTTGTAACACAAAGGATAAATGCTTGAAGGGATGGATGCCCAGTTTTCCATGATGTGATTATTATGCATTGCATGCCTGTACCAAAATATCTCATGTATTCTATAAATACATACAACTACTATGTATCCACAAAAATAAAAAATAATAAAAAATAAAACACAACGAACAAAAGTATATAAAATTATATACAGTGCAATCTGAGAGACCAAAATAGATGCCCCTTTATCAACTAAAACAGAACCTAAGGTTAAAAAAAAAGCAAAAAGTTGCCTATGGGTTGAGGGTTCAGGGATGGGTTTGAATGGCAAATTTCTAAATTCTCACTAAATATCCTAACAATAGGAGCTGTTAGGCCAATTGTCCTAATTCTGACTTACAATCCAAACCACTACAACTCTGACTGGACAGAGGACTGGCCTTACAAACATTCTTCTCTGGTAAGCAATTGCAGACCTGATAGAGGCTGTGCGTAAACCGTCTTTGTCTCCTAAAGTTCACCTTTTGATAGAAAGAGCTAAATTCTACCTCATTTTAATGCTAAAACGTAGCCCTAAAGTGAACATAGAATGTATGCCATATATATGTTTATCCACTACATATGCCTACAGCTCCCTCATAAACACATCTAGCTTTTCCCCCAAACCTCCTGAATATGCATGATTCCGGCCCTGTGAGGCATAAAATCCAACCCGTGCTTCTTCTCGTCCATGCTGGAGACTTTCTTTCCTAACTTCCAAACCAATATCTCCAATAAAGGTCTCCTTTCTACTATTTAGCCATCATGGTGGTCTTTGGGTTAACAACAGCAAATATTAACCAAAGGAAATTGAATTCTTATTTTAACATCCTATCTAAGAGACTTTAAATAAAAAAATTACTAGTTATAAAGATCATTACCTACTGATTAAAAGAGCAAGTCACCAAGAAAGTATATAACAATATCATGTCAATAAACCTAGCAACATATAGAATATTGACACTGGATGTTTGTCCTTGCCAAAATCTCATGTTGAACTATAATTCTCAATGCTGGAGGTGGGGCCTGGTGGGACGTATTTGGGTCATGGAGGTGGATCCTTCATGGTCTGGTGTTATCTTCATAATAGTGAGTAAGTTCTCACACTATCTGCTCATATAAATGTGTGTAGCTCTTGCTGCCCAACTCTCTTGCTTGCTCCTGCTTCCACCATGTGATGTGCCTACTCTCCATTCACCTTCTGCCATGAGGAAAAGCTCCCTGAGGCCTCCCTAGAAGCTGAGCAGATGCCAGCACCATGTTTCCTGTAAAGCTTGTAGAACTGTGAGGCAATTAAATCTCTTGTCTTTATAAATTACCCAGTCTCAGGCATTTCTTTACAGCAATTCAAGAACAGCATAATACAAATATGTAAGGCAAAAAAAGGCCAGAATCACAGAAATAAAATGACAAACCTACAGGTATGCAGGAAGGTTGTAACACACATTTCTCAACCCTTTGGTTCCTTAAATCCAAATCTCTACATACATCCTCCAAAACCATACAGGTCAACAGTAAAGAAAGTAAAACTATATAATTGCCCACAGGTAGAGCATAGTGGAGGATAGAGAATACAACAAACTTCAATTTACATGTAGGTAGAACAGTCCAGAATCAGTAGAGCCAAATCAGAGTCCATGCTGAAACAGAATTAGGCAGGGGTTACAGGGAAGACAGGAGAGGTGGCAAGTCCTTAGCAGAGGTGGAATGCAGAAGACAGCACCCACAGAAAGAGAATGTCCTTCCCTGATGAGGAAAGTGTGAGAACATGTGTGAGACCAGAATATCTGAAGCATTGCTTTTCATGGAAGTATTCGGGACCACAGTGGTAGTCTTGGAAAGACACTGGTTCTGGGGAGGAATGGGACAACTAGAAGGTAAAAAAAAATAAGAAATAAAACACAAGAAAATAAGTATCCTAGGGTGAAAAGATAGTATCATGATATTAGTAAAC